CAGCCCTAGGCGGTCTCCCTCCTGAGTTCCAGGCTCAACATCACAAATTTCTAACAGGATGTCCCAGAGGCACCTGGTACAAAACAGAACACATCTCTTTGCCCCACCCTAACCCTCTTCTCTTCCTAACTTCCCTATTTCCAACTAGGGCAACCCACCAACTTTCCAATTGCCCAGGTTCACAACTTGTTATCATCTTTGACTCCACATATGCTGTTAGTTGCCAAGACTTGTCAACACCTTCCACAACACTTCTTTTTTTTTTTTTTTAAGGAAATTGGGGTTAAGTGACTTGCTCAGAATCACACAGCTAGTGTCAAGTGTTTAGTCTGAGGTCACATTTGAACTCAGGTCCTCCTGACTTCAGGGCCGGTGCTCTATCCACTGCGCCACCTAGCTGCTCCTCATAACACTTCTTGAATCATCACCAAGTTCCGTACTCTAATCTGAGTCCTCATTTTCTCTCCCCTGGACCTTGACAGTGACTAAGTGGTCTACCTGCTTCAAGTCTCTCTCCTTCCCAATTCATCCTCCATGAAGCTACCAAAGTGATCTTCCTAAAGTGCAGGTAAGACCATGCTGCTGCTCTCCTCAAGAAACTCCAGTGACTTCCTCTTGTCTCTAGAGCAAAATACAAGCTCCTTTGTTTGGCATTTCAAGCTTTTGACGACCATTGTTATTATTAAGGTTGATTATTATCTAATATTATATCATTATTCAATATTTTCAAAGTTCCCTAATTTTAATGATGTTATTTTCTCTTTTGATTCACTTTTTTACTCAATCTACTCCTTTAACTAATCTTTATGTGTTGCTATCACCAAAGATATCCATTCCCTAGAGCTAGCCTTCTGGTGATGACCCCTCACCTCAGCGGGTCCTCAGGTGATAGATGCACTGTCTGTCTCCAAGTCTCTCCTCAAAGCCTTTCCAGCCTGGTAGCACTTGTCAGAGCATTCATACCACTGATATCACCTTCCAGAATCCAGGGTCACCTCTGCGCCACATTAAGCCATCAGTCAAGGATTTGAGTGGATATATCATCGTTTTTCAGAGTAAATTAATAATCTTCAGAGTAAACTTTGTCCACTAGCAATAGAGAGGTATTTAATGACTCTAATTGTGGGCAGGATGAAAGAATCTAGTATTTTAGTTGGGGAGAGCCATTATTATTATTATTATTTGCCACAGATGTAGAGACATGAACTCCCTTTCTGTCTTTCTAAATAGTTCTATTGTTGAAGTTTGAAACCCTGAAGGATTTCATTTGGGACTTAAAATGCCAGCCTTCTTAGAATTATTAAGACTCTCCTACCTGTTTGGATATCAGTTTTCAAAGGCACATTTGGTTTCAGCAAATCCAAAGTATAATTTCTGTGTTCTGCCTTCTGGCAGTTACTGTCTTTTTCCAATAAGAAGTTTAAAAAAGCAATCAGTGGTTGTTTATTGGAACTCCTTTCCCACTCAATAAATGAATCTAGGCCAAAATTTATGCAGCTCAGGATTCTATCCCTGATCTATGCAGCCATACAAACATGAGTTTTAACTGTGGAACTTAGAAAAAATCATTTAACTTAATGTTTCTTCATTGTTAAAAATAATTGACATTTTATTTTGGAAGAAAACCTGGATGAATGAATAAAAGAGCATTTATAAAGCGCTTACTATATACCTGGAACTTTGCTAAGTGCTGGGGATAGAATTACAAATAAGCAAGACAGCCCCTGCCCTCATGGAACTCACATTATAATGGGGGAATACAAAAGCAGGAGCCAGAAGGAACAGGACAGAGTTGTGGTCAAAGCATGGTTTGGAGGTGAACAACTGGCATGGTGATCTGGTTCAGGATTAGATAAGGTGAAAACTCTTCTTCTCACTTCCCAACAAGCAATCCCTCCCCCAAAAAATTCTTAGAAAGTATGTTTTCTGAAAAAGTTAATCTGCCAATGAATGAAGAGGAAGGCTTTTGTCTTTGTATCTCCGGTGTTTAAGCTCATAGTAAGTGCTTGATAAATGCTTTTGGTATATCCAAATATATGCAGAGTGGATACAATGTCAGCTCAAAGGAAATGCATCAGTAGCTAGGAAAGGCCTCTTGCAGAAGGTGATTCTGGAGTTGAGTCATGAAGGAAACCAAGACTCCTAAGAGGAGGCAGCATAAGTAGGCAGGGCATTTTAGGCATGAAAGAAGGCCAATGCAAAGGAACCAAGAAGAGGGTTGCAGTACCCTGTGCAAGGAACAGCCAGTCGGTCCAGATCATAGAGAGAGTGGAAGAAAGCAATGGGAAGGTCTAGATAGGGGTCACCTTGTGAAGAGCTTTAAAGGCAAAACAGTTTATATTTGATTCTAGAGGGAGTCACTGGAGTTCAGAGGGTCATAGATTATTAGAGCTGGCAGGGACCTGATTTAACTTTTGCATTTCATACATGGCCAAACTGAGGTACAGAGGGGTTTGGTGACTGGGAACATTGTCACATCTACACTTTAAGAAAATTGCTTTGATGCTTTTGGGAAGGATAGAATGGGGAGAGATTTGAGGCAGGGAGATCAATTATTAGAAGGCTATTATAACAGTCCCTGCTGGAGGAGAAAATGGCAAAGCACTCCAGGATCTTTGCCAAGAAAACTCCAAATGGGATCACAGAGAGTCAAATATGACTGAAAACGGCTAAACAACAAATAATAGCCCAGGTGGAGGTGATGAGGGCTTAAACCAAGGTGGTAGATGTGTAAGTGAAAAGATGACAGATGGGAGAGATGTCATGGTGATACAAATGACAAGTGTTGACCATTGGTTAGATCTGTGGGGTCAGAGGAAGGAATTGAGGATGACACACAGATTGTAAACCTAGGTGATTGGAAGAATGGGGGAGCCTTCAACTAAGTAATAGTTTGGAAGAGGAGTGAGTTTGGTAGAAAAAATGAGTTGTTTTGGATATGTTTGGTTTAAGATACCTATGGCATGTTCAATTCGAACTGTTAAGAGACATTAGATTTCAGAGGGAGATAGCTAAAGATGGGAGAATCAGGAAAAACTTCCTGGGGATGGTCCCTGAGCTGAGCTTTAGCAGTGTATTGAGACAGGCAGAGAGATGGGAGAGGACACCAAAAGTGGAGAGAACAGCACGAAAAAAGGCATAGAAATTTGAAAACTCAAAATATGTTTAGAGAATGAGACTATAGCATAGTCCAACTACATGTAGAGGAATAGAAGATAAGACCAGAAATGAGTTTGGAGCCAGATTAGGAAATGTCTTGAATGGGGAATGTTAATTCTTTCAGTAGGGCAGCTAGATGGCGCAGTGGATAAGAGTGCAGGCTTGCAGTCAGGAAAATCTTCCTGAGTTCAAATCTATCCTCAGACATTTACTAGCTGTGTGACCTTGGGCAAGTCACTTAACCTTGTTTGCCTCAGTTTCCTCATCTGTAAAATGAGCTGGAGAAGGAAATGGCAAGCCATTCCTGTATCTTGGGCAAGAAGATCCCAAATGGGGTCACAAAAAGTTAGACATAACTGAAAATGACTAACCATTTCTTTCAATAGGCAATGAGGACCACAGGATCATAGACTTACTAGGAGGGCTCTTCAGTATTACCCCCTCTTTTTACAGATGAAGAAACTGAGGTTCATAGAGGTTTGTGTGACTTGCTCAAAGTCACACAGCTATCAAATGCCACAGGTGAGCTTCTCAGTCAGACCCTCTGCCTTGTTGGACTATACTACACACTTCTGGGAGACAAGAAGACAAAGTCCTTTTGATTAACATTAACTTTGTGGTAGTGAATACAATAAGTACGGGATAGGGCAAATTGTAGACTGGGATCCAGGAGAGGCTACTGAATTCAATCAGTTGATAACAAGGGATTGACCTAGAGGGAGTGATAATGAGAATAGAATGTAGTGATAGGGGAGTCAACTTTGCAGGAAGATATGGACAGGATTTGACAATTGGACTTAGAAATTGTGGGGGAGGGAGGGTCAAAGGTGCCTCTTAAATTTCAAGCTTGAATGACTAGAAGAATGATAATACGATTAACAGAAAGCATTATTCCAGAAGGAAGAGCTGGACTGGGAAGGAAAATAATAACTTTGGATCTTGTAGTGAACCCAATCGTTTGGTACTTTAAAAAAAAAGAATGTTTTATTGATAACTTGTATTTTTACATCACGGTTATTTCTAGGTCTATACCACTGTCCCTCCCTCTCCCCTATCAAACCCTTCTTTGTAACAAAGAAAAACAACTAAACAAAACTACCTGACAGTCACTTTATCTGACATTCTCCCTTAGTATCCCCCCCCCCTTTGGTCAAAGGAAGACAAGTATATTCCCTGATCTGTTCTCTGGTACCATTTCTTTTTTGCTTTCTCAGTCACTCAAAGCTCATGTTCCTTCTTGTGACTTTTCTCCTTTCTATTGTAGCAGAAATTGTTACATTTATATACCAGTTTACTTTTGCTCCACTTTGTTTCCAGTTTGTTGTTGTTGTTACCACAAAGAGTCCTGCTGAGACTCTTGTTTTCATCCTTGAACTTCTTGGAGTATATGTCTAGTAGAAAGATTTATTGAGTCAAAAGGTATGAACAGTGATGTCACATTTTTGCATAATTCCAAATGGAAAGCCAAAATGGATGGATCAATTCATAGCTCTACCAACAGTGTATGAGTATTCCTTTTTTCTCACAAATCTTCATTTTTGTTTTGTTGGTCAATTTTCAGGATGAGAGTTGTTTTAATTTGCAATTCTCTTATTATTATTGATTTGGACAAAGTTTCTGAATGGCAATTAATATAATTTATAATTTGCAGGTCTTTCAAAAACTGTTCATATCTTTTGTTCGTATCTATTGAGGAATGGCTCTTGGTTATTCCTTTTTTGTGTCCTTGAAAGTCAAGATGGTGCTGGGAACACAAACGATATTTCATAAATTCTTCCTGTCAATTCAATTCAACAAACGTTAATGGAAATAATTCTGATATTAAACTACAGAGAAAGGAAAACTATCAGGGCCAAATAGTAACTCTTTGAAACTAGATGTGAAAGTACTATTATCCTTGCTGAAATTGTACATTTCCATCTTATGTGTGCCTTTAAAAAGCAAGCTGAATCTTATTTCAAGACTATTCTCTTCATTTAGAAAACTGGTGGAGTTTGATAGCCTTGTCTATGGAGTCCCAAATTTCATGCTTGTGTGTACTTGGAGTCATCAGGTGTTATCTTTCTGAGTTTACCCACACAGAGCAAAATGAGTGTGAGAAACCAGAGACTCCAACCAATAGCTGCTGCGATCCAACCATCTTCATCCATTCCATGCTTACAGCACTGGGCAGCCTTAGAGCAGAAATCTGCATCTATTGAAGAGGAAAAAGAGACGCGTTTCACCATCCTTCTTCCTTTTCCTCCTGCCCACTTAAATATCACTTAATTTCAATGGTCACTCTCCATGGGAGATGGAGAGTTTCCCTCTATGAACCAAAATGATATTACTGAACAGCGAGTAGAAGAATGTGGACTATGAGTTGTTATTCTAAGAGTGGGGGTGAATTTGTCTAGTTTATCTGTAAATTTTCCCAGTCCCCCCTTTCCCCTACCCCATAAATGAGCCATATTTGTGAGAGAGCTTGCCAGTGTCCGAGCTATAGTCATGTGGAACAAGGGCAAACTAAGGAATCTATAAGAAAATCAAGCCCCTAAAATCTTGGCCTCAAGTGGAGCTAACTGATCACAGTCAGTGAAAGACAAAAGGGATTTCTAACTCTTACTTGTAAGGCCTGCCCTAGAACAAGAGTTTTATTTTGCTGTGTGTCATAGAAAACAACAAATGTCCGTGTGTATCTAATCTGAACCCAAAGACCAGATTATGGTTGAACTATTGAAAACTGTAGTACTTTCTTCTCTCATCTTCCACCTATTCATAAACAGGCAAAAAATTGCTGTTTGAGCCCACAATAATACCTCTCATTCAACTTCACCACTAATGTAAGAACCATCAATTAGCAGCACAGTGAAATGTGTATAAATTCACACTTCTATTTTCCATCTAGTAATTTAATTATATGGTAGTTTCTGGGTTCCTTGGGAGATATTCCCATTTGTTTGTTTTTAAATATCTGTAAATAATAAAGTATGTTTGATTCCCTTGTTCCTAAGGCTAACTAGGTTTTAAAAATCATTTTAGGGTGAGATTATCTCCTAAAAAAAAAGATAACAAAATAAGTTAAAGAAGGTTGAAGAGAAAATTGTCAGGAAAGGCATAAATCTACTACTTCATAATCAACTACTGATAATGTTCTAACGTTTTAATTATAGGAGCATGGAGCTAGAGGGCATCTTAGATGTCCAGTTCCCCTTGTCATAGAGATGAGGAACCTGAGTCTCAAAGAAGTTAAGTGATTTGCCTAAGTTATATAAATTTTAAATTATTGAGCTAGAATTCAAAGCAGGTCCTCTTATTCCAACTCTATGGTTCTTTTTAGTATTCAATATTTACTATGTCCAGCTCCACATTGCCCCCGCACTTTCACCCCACTCCAACTGATGCCATGACAAGTATGATATTACATATTCAGCAAAAGCCTCCAGCTTCCAGATTCAACTATTCTGTAAAAAAAAATTGGAACTATGTCCAAAGAGCTATAAAACCATATATACCCTTTGACCTAGCAATACCACTACTAGGTCTGTATCCCAAAAGAGATAAAAAACAAAAAGGACCTATATATACAAACATATTTATAGCAACTCTCATCTGGGGGCAAAGAATAGGAAATTGAGGGGATGCCCATCAATTGAGGAATGGCTGAACAAATTATAGCATGTGATTATGATGGAATACTATTGTGCTATAAGAAATGATGAGCAGGATGCTCTCAGAAAAACTTGGAAAGACTTTCATGGGCTGATGTGAAATCAAATGTACTGTCTATGTACAAAGTAGCAGCAATATTGTAAGATGATCAGCTATGAATGACTTAGCTATTCTCAGCAACACAATGATCCAAGACAATTCTGAAGGACTTATAATGAAAAATGCTATCCGTCCCCAGAGAAAGAACTCATAATATCTGAATACAGATTGAAGCATACTTTTTTACTTTCTTTATTTTTTCTTGAGGCTTTTTTGTTTTTGGTCAGTGTTTTCTTTTACAACATGACTATTATGGAAATGTTTTGCATGACTACACATATATAACCTATATCAAATTACTTGCCTTCTCAATTACAGGAGGTGGAGGGGGAAGGAAAAGAAGGAGAGAATTTGGAACTCAAAGTTTTAAAAATGAATGTTAAAAGATATTTTACATGTAACTGGGTGAAAATAAAATACTAAATTAAAAAAATTAAAAAGCCTCTAGATTCCAGCAAATTACAAGGAATGTTTATGAGAAAACTAACTTTCCAGATACACAGTCACCTGTGTGAGTGTCTAGGGTAGCAATATTTTAGCATCCAATGGATGGAAGTCTAAGGGATACAGAAGTCTAAGGAATACAGCATGCTATACTAGAAAGAATAATAGAGTTGGAGTCAGAGAATCTGAGTTCAAATCCCGACTCTGTCACTCATGATTTTAATGACCTTAGGCAAGCTATTTAACCCTGCTTTGCCTCATTTTCCATATCTGTAAAATGACTTTAGATGACATCTAATGTCCCTTCCAATTCTATGATGCTATAGGTTCCTGGCAGCCTTGTGAAGTAGTAAATTCCCTTCCACTGAAATCTTTAAATAGAGGCTTAGTGACCACATCAAAAATACTACAAATGAAGCTCTTGCATTGGGTAGATTGGACTAAGTACCTTTCAACCCTGAGATTCTATCATTCTGAGATCCTCCCTAATGTGTATTTTAATCACCCCTCCATTTTGTCCAAAGTTATATCAGGTGACTGGATTGTTAGGTTCCCCATGGAATTTTATACCCAACAACCCTGAATGTAGATTAGAAGACAGACTCAGCAATCTGTTAGGCTTCTTTTGGAGAACAGGGAGAAACTAGATTCATGCACAAGAAGAGCAGAAAGGGCCACAAGATGCTAAATGGTCCCCACCTAGGACTGGGGACACCTATTAATCATCTCTACCAATAAAGAGACTTAAACAATGGAGAGGTTTAAACACCAGCCAATGGAGTTCCAGCAGTTGTAGAAAGCTTACCAGAGCACTGTGGTATGAATGCCGAGTCTGGCACAGGAGAAGGAACAGATGAGTTGTATATTTCTGAAAGAACAAAAGAGAGAGGCAGAATCAGTACAACAAATTGCCCTCAGATAAAGATTTACTAATCCTTCCTGGAAATCAGAGACTATTAGATTCAGGGTGGGGTGGATCACAGCTGTTGCTATTACAAATGTACCTTGACTTTGTAAAAGGCTTGTCAGTTCTAAGGAAATTGAATTCTTTGGCTTAACAGCCAATGTCAAGCTCATTTTGGCTTCATTCAAAGCACATTTCTGACCTGTCAGCCTGAGAGGTAGAGGAAGAAGCCTCGGACTTAGAGCCTGTAGACTTGGGTTCACCACCTAGCTCTACCCCTTGCTAGCTCCAGGACCAGAAGCAAATCAACATCCTGGGCTTGTTTCTTCATCTGTAAAATGGGTAGAATATTTGCAGTACCTACCTTCTAATCCAGTCTGACCCTATAAACTCTAATCATAGAGTTGGAAGGAACCCTGGAGGTCATTTAGTCCACCTCCTATGTTTTGCAGATTATTAAATAGCTCTTGCAGATTAATGAACATTTGAGATTTTCATCAGCCTGGGGCACTCTAGGTTTGGAAAATTCCTCCAACAATGCAAATCAATGTCTATAACTTAGTTTATAACTACATAATATGTACACAATGTACCCAATAATATATACTCTATGTACCCAAGATACATAGAGATTAGGTGACTTGCCCAGGATCGTGTAGCTAGCAAATGTCTTATGGATTCAAATGCCATAAGGTCTTCCTTACTCCAACTTCAGCAGTCTATTCATTACTCAATATTTCCTCTCACAGATTGATACTAAAATCAAAACAAAAGCCCAGAGTGTTTTCATCAGCTTTGCCATTTGTTTTCAAGTCAGCCTGTATTGCAAGCTGCTTAAAGTTTTAGACACAACATATACAAGGCTGAGCAATGAGGACTTTAGGTTATCAGACTAGTCCTTCAGCCTTGACACCACCTTTCAGGCTATTTCTTATCTTCCTGGACATGCCTGGGGTCTGAGGTTATAGGACCCTTGCTTGTAGTCAGTGATTGCAAGATAATAATATAATGTAGATGAAAGTTTTTTGTGACTATAACTCACTATACAAATTTGATTCATTATTAAATGTATTTTAATGGAATGTAAATATTTATTAAGGAATCCCTGACATTTCCTCAGGATTAGTGTAGGCACTTAAGGGTACAATCCGTCAAGCAGCTCTAGACAGAAAAGGACATGTCCCCAGATTACTGATTTAAGTTTTTTGCATACATGATGAGAAGAACATAAATATATTATTTGTGTTTCCCCCAGTAGATTTAGTCCTAGAAATAAATTCTGAAGATATCCCTTCAAGACATTATAATGCTTTTCATCCTATTTTCTTGGCATGGCAGGAAGCTGTAGAAAGCTCCCAAGTTTCCATTTTAGAACACTGTGTCCTTCAGGGACATTGGTTTTTGTAGGCAGCAGTGGAATACTAGTTTGGAAAAGGACTTATTATTTAGCCAAAGACATGAAACTGTTGTTCTAACTAAAGTTTTGTGTTATTCCACCTCAAGCCTCTCAAATGTCTTACCCAAGTACTGTAATTAGTTGATGTAATCAGACATAAATTTTTTACACCTGAAAGGCATGAGGGTGGACGGGAGAAAAAGTATTTGGGGTAGGAGCGATTGATTTCCCAACTCTTTTCACCTGTCTGATAAAAATTGTTTTCTTGACTGGTCCTGTCTCCTTTGCCAAGTAAAGGGAAAATAGCTTCCTACCTATGTGAAGCCAAAGTCATTTGGTGATATTATGTTTCCTGCAGAAAGGCAAATCCTGATTATTCCAGGATTATGAATGGAATGTGGGAACTCTCTAAGCAATCCTATGCAAAGGAAACCTTGCGTTCCCAGTATAAGAGTTAAGGGTCTAACACTGTGGATCCCCAGATGCTTCATTGTTAGGGGCAGGTCTGGGATAGAACCCCAGGTGGTAGGGGGCCTAGTTGCACCGACTATGATTTCTGGTGCAAAGGATTCTAGGGAAATATGGCAGTTGAAAAGTGCAAGGATGGGTTGGTTGGAAGGGGAGAGTCAGCTAAAGAGGAAAAGTGGTAGTTTATAGGGTCCTAGATTCAGAACTGGAAGGAACCTTAAAAACCATCTAGTTTAACCCCGGTTATTTTAGAGATGAAGGAACTAACACTGAATTGAAGTGGCTGAAGTCACTGATATGTGTCAGAACAGAAATTTGAACCCAGATTCTCTGCTCCAGTCAGTATGTTGGAGATGATATGGGTTTGATGCCACTATTATTTTCTTGTTTTTTATTCATTTCAGTCACGTCTGACTCTTCATGACCCCATTTGGGATTTTCTCGGCAAAGATGCTGGAATGGTTTGCCATTTCCTTCTCATTTTACAGATGAGGAAACTGAGGCAAACAGGGTTAAGTGACTTGCCCAGGGTCACACAGCTAGTAAATATCTGAGGCCAGGTTTGAGCTCAGGAAGATGAATCTTTCAGACTTTCAGACATAACAGCTCTTTTTGTGGTGGAACTAAATGGATGTCTATCAGAAGAAAAGTATACAAATTATGGTATATGAATGTGATAGAATAGTATTGTGCCACAAGAAAAGTCAGGAATGTCTTTAGAGAAACCTAAGAAGACTTATGAACTGATACAGAATGAAGGGCACACAGCCAGGAAAACAATTTATATAGTAATAACTTTACAAATATAAAAGTTGGAAAGACTTAAAAGCTATGATCAATGCAATGATCAACCATTTTGATACTGGAAACAGCTATCAAGTAAAGTGGCTGATTGAAAAACAACAGAATTTCTACATCCAAATAGGTATTGTCCCTTTCAAAGTCACCTTGTGTACATGCACATCTGTTGTTCAGTTGTTTCAGCCATGTCCAACTCTTCATGACCCCATATGGGGTTTCTTTGGGCAGATACTAGAATGGTTTGCCATTTCCTTCTCCAGGTATCTGTACATTTACTAATGGCAATTTACATGGCTGCTTCATGGTTAAAAAATGCTTTGCTTACATGATCTCATTCATCTCTGATGATCTCAACATTTTAGGACTCCTCTCTTAGAAGTAGCTTGAGAGTCATTTTACAAACCATAAAATGAAGTATCTCATTGCTTTATATTCAGACATGGTTTTGAACCAAGGATCTACCCTGGTTTACCCACCTTATTCATTATTAATTGCAAATGTTTATTAGTTGTTTTAAAAAATCAGTTCCATCTTCAAATGATGCAAAATGATATAAAACACTTGGCAAACCTTAAGCACGAGGTCAACTATTAGTAATTATTGCTACTATTATTTTGTCATTCCAATTACTGTTATTAAGATTTGCTACCACTGGGGCTTGTTTTTAGAAGAAATGTGTCACAAACTGTAAAGGCAATTCCAATGGGAAATTTTCAAAAATGGTTTTAAGCATGAGCGGCATCATTAGAACTAGTAAATAGTCTTCCACAATGATTGCTTTTCAGGACAAAACACATTCAGATTCTGGCATGTTTGTTACAAATCCGTCATGTTACCTTTTGAATCATACGTCATGGCTCTCTCAACCACTTGCCACAATAAACATTCCTGGCAGTTATTTCCTGTCTACTTTGTAATGAAGCCAAACCAATCCTCACCTTTCTGACTATACTTGAAGAAGTCTGGGAACCCCTGGATTTGCAAGGACTCACAGAAAGAGAAGAGACAGAATAAGGGAGGACAAGTGGTGATAAGGGAGCAAGAGGCAAAGATTTGATGTTTGGAGGAAAAAAAATGAGAGGGTAATGTATTTCTCAGCAAAACTATACTGCAGATGGACCAATTGTCCTGTCAAGATTGAGTGTGATACCACCTCCCCCACCCCTCCAGCAATTGAGAGGGGAAGACCAGTAGGAAAGGACCTAGCAAAAGTCAGGGATTTAACAGAGGAGGACACAGGAAGGCACCCTCTAAAACACACACACACACACACACACACACACACACACACACACACACACACACATGTTTTACCTGAAATTTATAAGAAATTTGTTCTAAATCAAGTGCAACATCCAGTCCCCATTGATTAAAGCAGGGTCGACAGAAGTGAATGGAAAATTTAGAAATGTGGAAAAATGTATTGCAAATCATCATTAAACCTTTTTCATAAAGAAATGCCATTTTTAAAATTTTGAGATACTGCTTCACTCCTATTAAATTGGCAAAAATAAGTAAAAGTGAAAAGCCAGTCCTGGAAGAGTTGGGGAGAAAACAAGGACCTAGATCCATTGCTGACTGAATTAAAATAAGTGGAATCTTTTCTTTCATCTTTATCATCTTTTTAAAATTTATATTTTTTGTGAATATTTTACAAAATATATAATGGATAGAACACTGGGCTTGGAATCAGGAAGACTTATCTTTCTGAGTTCAAATCTGGCCTCAGACACTTGTTATCTGTATGATCCTGGGCAAGTCACTTAACCCTGTTTGCTTTAGTTCCTCATCTGTAAAATGAGCTGGAGAAGGAAATGGCAGTATCTTTGCTAAAAGAACCCTAAATGGGGTCAGATGTGACTGAACCTAACAACAACAACAACAAAAATCCAGTAATAGATGTACATAATATGTAAGTGAGTAAATAATACACACCAGATGTCAACTGCTCTAAATTTTTTTTTTTTTACTGCTGGGGTACATAATAAAAATCTTTTACATTAAGAGCAAAACTTTTAAACAGAGTTGGCAGAAATTGTAAGTAAAAGGAGATAGTATGATCACATTTGTCTGAATGAGTGCAACCTCATCCTGTTTTCCCAAGAGTAGTTTGGGAACCAAGCCCTTTCAAATTCACAGTTCCAATAGAAAAGCCCTGGACAAGTTCTTTGTAACAGCACAACGTTTTGGGAGAATGATCTGATGCCTTGTGAGTGTTACAGAATCAAAAGATGAAATATTGAAAAGTGAATAAAAGAGCCATCAAAACAGTAATGACTATATATAAGGAAAAGTGTATACACAAATACATGTACAGGAGTGAGCAGACAGAATGAAGGGGGGCACAGAGGGAGTAGCTAATAGGCTGTAACCAGCATTTTGTATTTTAGAAGTGATTTTCAAAATGTAAGTAGTGATATTTCAGCTTCATTGTTGTTTGAAGTTACATGCACAACATATTAATTTATAAAGACGGAGTAAGAATTTCTATTAGTAATAGTTTTGCAGACCATCACAAATTTGCTGCTAAAGTCTCTACCCCCTCCAAAGAGCTGTTGTTTTGTGTGGATTATATCTATGGATATTTACTGTGTTAGAAATGGAAATGTCTTAGTATTATTATGAAAATTGTTTAGAACCAGTCACTCCCAAGGTTCCTCAAACTACACTTTAAGAGTAGCTGGTATGGAATACTATCCTGGAAAACAGGGAAATCAGATGCCTCAGTTTCTTCATCTGTAAAATAAGCGTAATCTCTAGTTTCCCTTTCACCTCTGAGACCTATATTCTAAAAAGTGCATGGCACCCAGAGAGCACTACACAAATGCTTATTCCTTGCCCCTTCTTTTCCCTTCCCCTTATCATCCTTTGTTGTTATGAAGAGTAATTAATCCTAGGGAGGTTTCTTAATCTCTGTGTACATTAGTTTTTTCCACTTGTCAGATGAGGTTATTATCTCATTTTATCGGTCTTAGATAAAGAATAAATCAGCTAGTCTACTAGAGAAAGCACTTGGAGGTATGTGCTATTCAAAGGATTATTAATTTGAAAGAAAAAGAGAAATAATAGGGGGCTTTGAATATTGTAAGCAGGAAGCACTTCAAGTAGGGAGGCAGGGGGAGAGATGATTAAATAAATATATATACTTCCAAAAGATCTATGATTTCATTGGTGAGGGTACTCCCTCCAACTAAGATCCAGATCTCAACCCCTCCATGCTTTAGTAGACAATATAATAGTCTACTATTGGCCAGTGGTGGCAACAACAACAACAACAAAAACCAAACACAAAACCAACAAATTCATCACCTGGTGACCAGCCCAGAGATAATGAGCTTCTCAGAATTAAACTAAACTGGCCCTTAGATGACAGACACAGTTCATTCCACACAGAGCAGAAAGACGCCTTCCTTAGCCCTCTACTGACAGTCTCTGGGAGACTCGGGTCAGTGACACATTGGAGGTAGAGACTGACCAAAAGAGTGATTTCACTGACCCCCTGGGGAAGGAAAGAGAAGCTACTGGTAAGTAACAAAATAAAAAATCCTTTGGGGTTAAATTGTTAGACTTGGGGAAACTATTTTTTTTATGTTTTGCTCTTAGCAATAGCAAACAAAAGCTGAATACATTTCAGAAGAGAAATATCAGCACATCTATCAGTATGCTCCAGGTGAGGTCTGGGAATTTGATCTTTGTCAACAATAAATTAAACCTAAAAACATCCCCTTCCCCAATCCCCAGCTCCATCTTGACTGGAAAGTCCTGTTTCCTTTTTCCTTGGGCCAAATAGCCTCCTCCTTTTCTCTTTCTGTTTTTTCCCTTCTTCCCTCTCCCTCCCTCCTTTGTGGAGAATAAACCCCACAATTTTACCTGCTAAGCAAGTTGTGAGGAAGAACGAAGACAGGAAGACGAGACTGATGAGAATGTAGATTACAGAGGAAAGCTGCTTCATGGTGCAGTTGGGAAGCACCTGTCCAGACTGCCCTGGTCTCGCTTGTCCTCTGGAAACCTTGAAAATGACTCTGGCAGACCACAGGGAAACCTCTGCCCTTCTGTTTAAGAGAAAAGAGAAGGGGTGGAGCAAAGTGAACTTACATCTGTCACATAGTTGCTCTTGCTTCTAGAAAAGAGACAGGATTCCCTTCCCCCCCTTTTAAACTCTGGGGTTTGGGGAGAAGTGAGGACAATTTCTAAAGTCCCTACTTTAAAAAGGGAGGTGCTTTTTTTTTGACAAATTTGTTGAATAGGGGATAGAGGACCAGCTGAGCTGCCTAGGTCAGTTTAATTTTCAAATACTTGCTAGCTGTGTGGCCCTAGGTAAATCGCTTAATCGCTCTCAGTCTCAGTTTCCTTATCTGTAAAATGGGGATCATAATAGCACCTAATTCACCGAGTTGTTGTGAGGATCAAATGATTCAACAGAAAACACATTATATAAATGTTAACTATTATTATTTCTGAGGGGAAAGAAACAAAATATGCACAGTAAGTAAATATGCCAAGTAGTTTCAAGAGGAAGAGAGTGTAATAATTCAGGAGACAAAGAGTTCCAGCCCTAACCTCTACCTTTAACTTCTCTTGTGACTTTGGGCAAATCCCTTACCCTCTCTGGTCTTCATTTTCCTCATCTATAAAAGAAGTGGGTGGGGCATGGTGATCTCTAAGGTCTCTTACTGTATTAATAGTCTGGGATTAGATGGCTTGGCACTGCTCCCATCCAAGAAACCATTGTTTGCCCAGCCACAAACCTCTATTAGATAATAGAATTTTAGAGCCCAAAGGGAACTAAGGAATTATGTAGTTCAACCCTCTCAATTAAGAGGTAAGAGAAAATGAGATCTAAAGAGATTGAATAATTTTCCTAAAGTCATACAGATAATCAGTTTCAGAACCAGATTTTGAACCCAGGTCTCTGATTCCAAATCCAACATTGAGTGTACAAGAGGTTGCAAAAATTTTCAGCTGCAGATTTTCCAATTATAAGCACAACATGAGCCATTATGGTAATTGGTAAATTTCCATTCTTTCTTGGAAAGAGTGCTGGACTTGGAGATTCAATTCAAGTTACTTACAAGCCATGGGGCCTTAGGAAAGTCCCCCAACCCCCTTGAGCCTCCTTTTGCTTATCTGTAAAAATTAGAAGTTTGGATCTAATGATCTCTAAGGTTCTTTCCTGCTCTTAAATCTGTGACCCTGTGATGAGTTTCTGCAGTTATAAAATGAAGACAATGATCCTTTGTCCCTCAGTATACGAGTTTAGGGTGATAGCACGAGTAGAAATTGTATGCTGAATTTTTTTTTCTAAGACAGGGACTGCTTTGCACAAATCTCTTCATATTTTCATTTGAGTCCTCTTGAGAAAATGGCCCTTGTTTTTGTGAAGGCTGGAAGGAGTTGGAACTGAAGCAACAAAGGAATAAGCTAATAACAAGGCACCCTCCTTCTCACCCCATCCTCAGGAATTTATATTCTCCCTTGAATGTCACCATCTTTTTGTTTTGTGCCTCTCTAAAGCATTTTGTTTTAGCTATGTGTTTACATCACTTTGTTAGACATACCTAAGGAGGGGCAGCTAGGTGGCACAGTGGATAGAGCACCAGCCCTGAAGTCAGGAGGACCTGAGTTCAAATCCCGCCTCAGACCAAACACTTGACACTTACTAGCTGTGTGACCCTGGGCAAGTCACTTAACCCCAATTGCCTAAAAGCAAAAAATTAAATTAAATTAAAAATTAAAAAAAAAAAGATAAAATGGACATACCTAAGGCCTGAGTTGTCCCAGCAGTCCATAGTCCTCATGAATTTCGTATAATTAGAATAGGACAGGACCTCAGAGATCCAACACACATCTTTAGACAAATCCCACCTAGGACATCCTCAACAATTCAGCCCCTAACTGAATATCTCTTCTGATAGAGAGCTCACTATGTCCTAAGAAAGCTCATTCCACTCTTGGACAGCTCTAATTGAGCTGCTGTCACATATCACCAAGTCCTTTCTTCTCCAGTCCAATAATTCTGAGTTTTTTTCACCTGATCCACATTATGGCAATGCTCTTTCTAATGAGCACAAACACAGAACTAAGAGCTTGGCGGTGATTATGTGCTTTACCTCCTCCTCCTCACTGTGAAGATGGGGAAACCAAAGTCTACAGAGGGGAAATAATTTGCCCCAGGTGACACAGACAGTGAATAGCTGAATCAGGATTTAAACTCAGGAATTTCTGGTTCAAATACAGGACCTTTTCTGCCATACCATGTTGCTTTTCCTCCTCTCATAAACAAATTTCCCCCAAAAGCAGTGTGGTGTTCCGAGAAGAGCTCTAGATATGATGTAAGCAGACCTGGATTCTGCAATGCCAAAAAGCATCTTTCCTTCCGGACCTCTACTACCTCATCAGTGGCTCGCACTAGGGTCCTTTCCTAGAATCTTGAAAATGGGGATAATAACACTTTCCCTCCCTACTTCAAGAGGTTGCTGTAAGGATCCAGTGAGACCACGTATGTGAAAGTCCTTTGTAACTGTCAAGCATGACATAACGATATTTTGTTATCATAATGTGGACCCATAATTCAGTTTTGACCCAAAGAAGCCAAAGTTTGAGGCAGGGTTATGCTTAAGATCTGATACTCTAGGGGCTGGGGTAGGGAAAGGAATGTACCCATGATACCCTTTTAAATCTAATCTACATTATTAACATTTTTTTCTAATTGCTTCTTGTTTTGTTTTGTTTCTAGGCAATAGTGTTAAGTGACTTACCCAGGGTCACCCAGCTAGTATCTGAGGCTGGTCTTGAACTCAGGTCCTCCCGACTCAAGGGCCAGTGCTCTATCTACTGTGCCACCTCGCTGCCTGCCTCCCATCACTTTTTAAGGTCTAGACAATCAATAAGATAGTAAATTAGACCCTGATTTGTAGCACTTGCCATTTTCTGAGCTATCAATGCTTATGTTGAAAGTTTAACAAGCAGCTTTAAAGCTGGTACCAGCTGGTCCCACCATCCCCCTGGTTGAGGTACTTTGTCTGATCTATCTGAAGAGGTTGCCTCAATCTTTTGGAATCTTTAACACCATCTTAAAGCATTAAGTGTCTAAAATAGCAAAGGGGGCTGAGTTAAACGCTGATAAAAGAAGGACAAAAATGCCCTTAGTAGCAGTGAGGAGGGGACAGAGAGGAGAAACTCACAAGATAAGATAATAAACCTGAGGTGAGCTGAGGTTTCAACAGTGTGGGCACACCCTCCACTGACAAGGATCACCAGCCTCTAGATTGCAGAGATTGTTCTTAGGAATTGTTTTGGACTCACCCTGGTGCTGAACCTTTCTGAATTCAGCTAATCTGGTCATCAGAAAGCAGAAGTACTGAATTCGGAGGACTTTTATTCAAATCTGGGTCAAGTCACTCAATGTCCATGGGCCTCAGTTTCCTTCTCAGTGAGATGAAAGGGCTTGATTAGCTGCCCTAGGAGGTTCTTTCCTGCTCTTTCTTCTCATGCTTGTCAGTATTCCTGAGTTACGGACTGGATAGTGTTGTTTAGCCATGTCCAACTCTCTGTGACCCCCGTTGGAGGTTTTCTTGGCAAAGACGCTGGAGAGGTTTGCCATTTCCTTCTTCAGCTCATTGGTCACATGAGAAAACAGAGGCAAACAGGGTTAGGTGACTTGTCTAGGGTCACGCAGCTAATAAGTGTCTGAGGCCAGCTTTGAACTCAGATCTTCCCGACTATAGGTCCAGTGCTCTATTTACTGAGCCACCCAGCTGCCTCCATCGTTTCCTTACTCTGACTCTAAAATGTCCTCTGTATGGCTCAATGGATAAAGTGACAGGCCTGGTGTCAGAAAGACCCCTCTTCCTGAGTTCAAATCTGGCCTCAGACACTTAGTAGCTGTGTGACATGGGCAAGTCACTTAACTTCTCTTTGCCTTTTTCCACTGGAGAAGGAAATGGCGAACCACTCCAGTATCTTTGCCAAGAAAACCCAAACGGGTTGTAACGAGTTGGACATAACTATACAACAAGTAAATAATGAGTGGAAGCCCCCTCTGAATCTGTGACTATGATGGTTAAATTCCCACATCCCAGAACTACACATATTTCTGTTTTATCCCTTTGTGGGAGATATTTCTATTGGCACTGTCATGTTTGTGTTCAGATTGGTCTATTGTTTGGTAAATACAAGTCTGAGTTCTCAGAAAGTAATTTTAAGGTAAGGTGTTATGGCAAAAACCAATACATTCTAGAAAACCTGTCTGTTATTTTTGTTTTTCAGTTTAATCCATATGCTTGGAAAGGAAAGTCAGTGTGGCCAAGAAATTGTTTTGGGTCAAATTGTTGTTTGGCCAAGACAATTTATAGCTTTGTTCCCCACCTCAAGGACACCCGAGAGGCTATTGATTTAACTTCTGCACATCTTCACCAACATAGAAACAAGCTTAACAACCAAATTAGCAAGAATAAGAGGAAGCTAAGTGTTGCAGTGGATAGAGTGCTGGATCTGGAGTCAGGAAGACTCATCTTCCTGAGTTCAAATCTGATTTCAGACCCTTAACTCTTTGTGTGGCCCTGGGCAAGTCCCTTTGCCCTATTTGCCTCAGTTTCCTCATCTGTAAAATGATCTAGAAAAGGAATAGAAATAGAAAACTGCTCCAATACTTTTGCCAAGAAAACCCAAATGGAATCATGAAGAGTCCGACAGGACTGAACCACAGCAAGAAGGTTGACTTAAACTCTCTGGATCCTCAGCTTTCTTATCTGTGAAATAAAGAGGTCAAGACCTACAAGGTCCTCCTAAACTCTGAGTCTGTGATAATGGATAGTGAATACCAAAGACTCATTAAGGAAGAAGGGGTATAACAGATTTCTAGCTGATAGATTATTAGCTAATAATCTATCATTGGATCATAAGATCAGCCATATTTTTTTAAATATCTGAAAATGAAGATATTTAAGAATATTTAGGTGATACCCCTGAGTTTTTGAGGTAGATACCATGGAGGGCCACTGTACCTTCCAACAAACTCCCCTTTTACATTACCATTGGAGTCATCTGTACT